AAAGAGTGGACATATCCAGACTGCCCTTTACGGAAAAATGGGGAGAGTGAGATCACCACATCCATATGGACATCGCAAATACCTCACAATGCCAGATGGAGCAACAGCCACCTTTGATCTCTTTGAGCCGCAGTCTGAGCACTGCATTGGAGGTCAGTCAAACAGCTGCTGGCTGCATATAGCTGCTAACCTTGATTCTGTGCTCTTGGGGATGGGTGAGGACACTGCTACTTGACTTAGCAGAGAGAATAGATGTTAATTACAGTGATGGAAGGGGGCTGCTAACCAATGTGTGGAAGCTATGAGTCCATCTTGCTGTATACCTATATCTCAGACAGCAGGAAAGACCCGACTAGATGAATTAACTGTTTGTGGCATGAGGTGGGGAGTTAAGGAACAGACGAAATGTTCCATAACGTGTGCCTCAAGTGAGAGGCTGGCAACAAGTGTGGTGGTTAAGACTTGTTTGGAATGCCCATTGCCTGTTAAGGCTGTGGGATCATAGAACAGAGGCTAGCTGCATGTGGTTCTTCATAGCCTGGCGTGTGTGGAAAAGAAAGTAGACTTCTTCCCCTCTTTAGAAACAGATTCTTGGTAGTCTTTATTAACAATAGGTGTTTCAACATCTGCATGAAAACTCCATGTGCACAGGATATGAAGGAGTCCAGACGTGAAGAGAATTCCATGAAAAAGTAGAAAATTGTGGTAACTCCTTACAACATCATGTTTGTATATTCAGAGTGGGTGTCAGCTTTCAAACTCGCTGTTACTGCTAGTAACAGCAACACTTAAAACTGAGTTACTGTGGCTTGACTTCAGAAGTACAATTTACTGCAGTAGCTGATTTCATTGTAAGCCCGTGACTCCCATTTGGCCTTCAGAAAAAGCAGAGTTCTTAACTGTCAGTGAGATCCTCATGGTTTAATGCTACACTAGAACAGTTACTGTTATCTTTATCACTGAAGAGAATCTGAGGAGTGCTTTCCTAATGAGGCAAAGATTCGGTGGCTAGAGCTGCTAAGTGTTGGAGCTTGCACATAAGAGTCCGATAGGTAATTCGAATCACATATGCTAATCCTGAATGTAATTTACTGTGCTTGCTTGAATTACAATTACTTTCTTAGTTGATGAAATGATATCTTGTTAAACTAGTGAACAGTGTCAGCAGATCAAATATCATTAGATTAGCCACAGAGCAGATAATGGCTAATGTCAGCCAAACAATGTCTGTGCTTAGCAAAGCTTCATTTTGAAGATATGTGTTACACCCAACTCTGGAATGGAAATGAGGGAAAAATAGCGTAGCCAGATCTACTTGGTGCATGAATGAGCAGTGGGCTTCAGAGCTTCCACACACTTAGCAGTCACAACAGGCTGTCAGAAGGCAGAGTATGTGTAATGTCAAAAACATCCTTCAAAGGGACAAATTTACTCTTGGTCTCTAGGCAGTGCCTGTAGAACTGCTTGGGCAGCTTTCCATGAAGTTAGAAAACTGTTCATCTCCTGTAGCATGAATTACTTTTTCACATCTGTAGCACTAGAGCTGCTAGTCTCCTGTCCCATACTGGATTTTTGGCAGACTAGTAGGATTTTTAGCTTGCTTCTGGTAGATGGTTTCCCACGGATCTGAAATGGAAACCTTCTGAATATCTTAATTTGCATGAAGTGACATTTACTTAACTTCCCTTTCTTTCTGTGCACAGAGGATGTTACGATGGTAATCTGCCCTGGGATTGCTAACCACAGTGAAAAGCAGTATATCCGCACTTTTGTTGACTATGCGCAAAAAAATGGGTACAGATGTGCTGTCCTGAATCACTTGGGAGCCTTACCAAATATTGAGCTCACTTCTCCACGAATGTTCACATACGGTAGGTACTTTATGGCAACTGGGGACTTATTTTCAAGCTTGTGAAATTTCTAGGGCTTGATTAGCCTCCTTCAGCATAACACAACTGCCATATCTGAATGAGGATGATATTGTACTGTTTCTTAGGAACTAAAATTAACTTACATGTGAGGAAGAGGGAAGGCTAATACTGGGATTCACTTTTCCTTGTCTCTTCTCCTGGCTCTTACATATGTATCCTAATCAAGGAGGCAGTATTTTGGAAAGAAAACTTTTGGAAAAAACACTTGTGGCTACTAAGAGCCTGCTGAAATTATTTTAAAGATGCTGAAGTGTCAGTTTAGTGGAATGTGAAACAAACCTAGCTCTGAATGATAAACACTACTTCTGAGGCTTTGTAAAATGTAATGAGAGGAGTTTGTACCAGCCTATTCAGAAAGTACACTTCTATCTTAGGAGGGACATAGGAGGACTGGTCCCTGGATGTAACACAAATGTCAAGGAATGGCAACAGTTCTACAGTATGACAGTAAAGCTACAGAAGTGGTAGTGCTTAATTGCCATGATTTTGGGCTTTCACCTTGAGTATAAGGAAATCTTTCTTAACCTAGAAATGAAAATGAATAGAGGATTTGCAACTGTTAAGGGTGACTCCAGCTATTCTTAACTGCCCTGCTAGTGAGTAACATGATCTTGTAGAATGTGGCCTTCTTGCCTGTGACCTGATCTGCTTGTTCCCAAGTTCTCTTGAGCCCTCATGTCCCTCTTTTCTACAAACATCTATAGGTACATTATGTCAGGAGTCAATTGTGGGTTTAGCGGACTGGTGTTAGGCTTCTCTCTTCTTTAAAGATAACCAAGATACTGCTAAGAGTTTGGATTAACAGTTTGAATGTTTGTCTTGAACAGTTGAATTGCCAAAATAGAAATATTGTGCTTTGAGATTCTGGGTCTGGCAGGCAAATAGGCTGTAATGCTTTGTTGCTTGTTTTATAGTTATTCTGCTCCCCCATGGAAGACATTTCAGGAATACAAAGTACCTCGATTTGTATTGAGGCCCTAGGCTGTTAATGGCTTCAAGCCTACCATGTTTTGGGAACTAACCTTGGCCTCCTTAAAGCATTTGCTTTTTTGATAAAAGTTAAGAGCTTTCTTCCACAGAGCTTTGCCTTAGGGAGTTATTCTGTGGTGCATCTCTCAAGACATACCTTTCTAAGTCTCTCTCATAGCCTTGGAAAGGGCAAGAAATGCCTAGCATTTCCTTTGAGTAAGACAGTAAATAGCTCGGCAGAGTTGCTTAAGTGGAGTGCCAGCAAGACCATGAGTGGACTTTACTCTGCCTCCAATCCAAATATCCTGGTGTCCTTCCAGCTTTTGCTGGATTCCTGACATATTTGTTGAGGAACAAGTAGCCTAAACTTGGGATTTGCTGAATCCTCCAGCCTTTACATCAAGCTTGATCTGTTGCTGTTCTAGTTTTAGACTTCTGAAATAGTTGCCAGCTGCCCTCAAATCATGAAGGTCAAACACTGAAGTATTTTGACTGCTGGCTTCTTCCAGAGGAAACAAGAGCAATGCAGCATTTGTCACCTTGAGGAAAATTGCTCATTAAGAATGTTCACAAGCAAGTGCCCAAGCGCTGCTGAAATGCTCAGCTGGAAGCCTGCTGTTTCACTGAAGTAAACACAAACCCTGGTGCTCAGTCTACTCCAGAGCTAGCCAAAACTTGAGTCTGATGTCTAGCAAGGATGCCACAGTTGGAGTGGGAACACAATGGAGCACTGTTAGGTTGGCACAGGGTAGAATCCCAACTCTTAGGGTTTATCTCCCTGGACAAGTTCCACAGGGTAGAGCTGAGATTCTGACTCTAGACAGGATTAAACAGTTTGAGTTTTATTTATGTTCATGTGGTGCTTCCTGTATGGTTTGCAGTCTTGAATCCAATGGGAAGGTTGCATAGACAGTTGATACCAGTGTAGTAATGCCGTCAGTTTTGCAGCTGCTTCTCCATGTTTCCTTTTCCCAAACTCAAAGGCAGGAGAAATACCTGTATGTACTCAGATGTTGCATGTGTGGAGGCCTTCGAGTCTGTCAAACAATCTGAGGGGACCCCAGTATTGCAAGAAGTTGGATCCCTTGGTGTCTGCAGCCTGTGGGATGCAAGTGGGTGTTAGCTGAGAGCAGAACAGATCTGCATAGTGGCACTTGCCTCCTCTCTAGAAGAGGAGATACCCATATGTCTTTTAGGAAGCTGTAGTATCTTTTACCTCTATCAGTGGTTAAAAAGGGCTACCTGCTTCTGCTTAAACCCTTCCATCTGGTTCCAGAGAGCACCTGCTTTTAGTCAGGCTCTGCAACAGTCCACAGAGAGCTCTGAATTTCCTGACAAGCCAGCTCTGAATTTCCTGACAAGCCAGCTCTGAATTTCCATGACCTCCCTGCATCAGCATGGATTTAAGGATCTGTGGCAGCCTTGGTAAAACCAAATGAGCAAGCTGCTTTCCAGACACCCCACTTAAGTTCAGAAGTGGCAAACTGCCTCAGGAAGACAGCGATGTGTGCTGTTCTTAGATAGTAATGTCAAGGCCAGAGTTGTTGGACTCTTCTTTCTAAAGCAACTTAAAAAGCAGAGGTTGGATTGTCAGATTAGCTGTTGCCATGATTTCTAAGCAAGTTAATTTCATTTTACTTTGGCACTCTGTCAGAACTAGGCGTGAGCTAAGGTCCACAGGACTTGTAAAACAGATACATGAACACATGTGTGAATCAGAGCTCTTAAAACCTTAAGGTTATTGAAAAGTCAGAAAGGGTAAGCAGCTGGATTTAAAGCACACAACTGAAGCATGGGAATCTGGGTATGTTAGAAGATGATTCTTGACTTTGTCCTTATTTTTAGGTTGCACCTGGGAATTTGGTGCCATGGTTAATTACATCAAGAAGACCTACCCTCAGACCCAGCTGGTTGTTGTGGGCTTCAGCCTGGGCGGAAACATTGTGTGCAAATACCTGGGAGAGAGCCAGGCCAACCAGGAGCGAGTCCTGTGCTGTGTCAGCGTGTGCCAGGGGTACAGTGCACTGAGGTAGGTCTAGAGACTGCTCCATGCCAGTCTCTTCTGGGAGTGCAGGAGCGGGGGCAGATCTTAAGCAGGGTGTGCATGGCAGGGCAGGGGGAAGAGTGTGTTGCTTCTCTTGCATTGAACTGGTCTGACAGACTGCAGCGTGTGGGACGCCACCCTCCTGAAGGAGTAACCAAAGCTTTGTTGAGTTGGCAGCACAAATGAGCTTTCTGTCAGCAATGCAAATAGTTTTCTGTACCTGGCCAGGTACATGCTGGCAGCTTCTGGTCTGTGTGTGTGAGCTGGCCTAACTTTGTGTCATGGCAGGATTGCCACAGTGTCCTAAGAGGAGGCATTCCCACTGCAGCTCTGGTGTAATTAACCAGGCAGGCTGGGCAGCATGACAAACTGCTGAGATGATGCCAGGTTTGCAAGCAGTAGTTTACACTTTCTCATCACTCTGAGAAGGATTTGTTGGTTCACAATAGGTTCTCTGGCTTCTGTGTGCAGTTTCATCAGGTAGCTCTTACCTGGGGAGACTGGAAAAAGAGACACAGCTCATACGCTATTAGTCCATGATCCCCTCTTAGTGTGTGTCAGTGAAACAGTGCTATGGGCTGATGAGGAGAGAGGGAGGCACTTGCAACTATGTTATACAATTTGGAAGGTGGGGAGGAGAAGGCTTATAGCCCAAAAGTCTGCCTAAAATGTTAACCTGTGGTTCCCCACCTGGAAGCCAAGGCTGTAGCACTTCAAGAGCTGTAACAGCTCCACCTAGTGCCAACACTTGTACCCAGATCCTCCATCAGTAAATAACAGCACAGCTGCTTGAAAACTGGTGGCTCAACTCATGTGCAGTAATTTTCCATGTATGCACAATTAATGAAGATTTAAACAGTGTAACTGGCTAAGCTGCTGCTTTCAGGTTTTACTGTCTGTACATATGGACAACTACTAAGGTGTAGCTGACTTCACAGTAATTTAACTGCACTTTTGAGCCCTGAGACTGTTTGAAAGGCAAAAGGGTATTTGGGTCAAGATCCTTTGGGCAGATAAAAATGGTGAAACTATGGCAGCCCTGAGAGGGGCTTGCTATGGAATTTAGCCTCCCAGCCTGGTCAAGGTAGCTGGAACTCTCTTGATGCTGCTTATGCTCTTGCCTGTGCAGGGACCAGTTTGATAGTCAGCAGTCTGAAGACACCTTTTATGAGTTAAGCTCTTACAGGTAAAAGAAAGAAGCTTTTCTGGAAGCATTCAGATGTGACTAAAAGCTTGATGTGCACTTCAGTAATATTCCAACATTCCTAATCACTTTTGAGATCAGATATGACTACTGCTAAAACAGTGTATAATCTACTGCTAGGTCCTCATGAGTTCCCACCCTTAAAATCTGAACAGATGCCTTCAGAAACAGTTTTTGTTTTGTTTCAAGTAAAATGTTCTTGCTTGTCTTGGGGTTCTGGCATGGAGCACAGAGCATCCTTTTGAAGCCAGCTTCTCAACTGCAGCCATCAGACAGGGTTTGCACATCTGGCTGTGGTCCACTTGGTTCATCTTCTGCAATTATGCAATATTGTATTTCTGGTCTCCAAAATTATGTGAGTAATGCTGTTCCCTAAGCCGATTTCTGTAGTAGTATGGCATGATTTGCTGGTAGAATAGCAGGGCAAGGACAACCTGTTTAACAGTACTGCACTTGGATATTTGTGTGGGAGAGTAACAGCTGCTTGTCTGACTTTAATGTGAGTCTTCAGTGGGTTGTGTGGATTATTGAGCTCTTGACTCCACCTGCTGGGTAGACATCTACTAGCAAATCTGCAGTTGCAAAACATCTGCTACACATTACTGGGGAATTGGCAGAAAGGCTTTTCAGATCTTGTCTCCCTACCTAGTATCTACTTCTGCTTTAAATGCTAATTAGCCAAAGAGCTAGGGGAAAGCAACATCAGTAAATTCCTCCAGGTGAAATAGTTAAGCCTTAGCCCTCCTGGGCTTGGTCTGGTAGGTTAAAATAATTGGCCTCATCCCTCTGGGCTACATGAAAATGGATTAACCAGGTGGACATGACCAGTTAGTTTACAATTCCATTTTCTTTTATTAGCTTGTACAGCCTTTATCCCCCAAATAACTTTAGGAAGTGAAGGGAAAAAAGTGGTGGTGAGCAAGGTGAAACAGGGATCTGAAATATGAAAGCCTTCCCAGAGCATTAAGCACGAGTCCCATAGATTGGGCATAACAAAGTAGCAGCAATACTAGGGTCTGCCAGAAGAATGTGAGGCTCTTAGTTTAATGAATTAACACAGAGGCTGGGGAATTTGTTCCCCGAGGCTAAACAGGGACATGTCTCCTTATTCCTTAATCTCTGCCTGCACAGGCTTGATTCTGCTTCTTGATCTTGTGGAATGCATCTTCACCATAGCTGCAAAGCTGAGGACTCTCCCCACAGCGTGAAACCTGTGCAGTCCTCAATACCAGAAGCTGCATTTTTTCAGTGCTTGCAGCTTTTCGTATTAGGAGTACTACTGTACACCACAGGAACAGCAGGGAAATGTGTAGTAGCTTTAACTTCAAACATCTTGTAATAATAACTTAGAAGGTTTGCTTGGAAAACCTTTTGTGAAGAAAGAAATGTGCATCTTCCTGTCTTCTTTCATTCCCCTGCCCTGGCATAAATGTGGTAGGTATAGTCTGGCTAGACAAAAAGATAAGGAAGGCTTGGTTGGTTTTTTTTAAATTCTGTACTCTAGCATGGCTTAGTACAAGAAAACAAAGCTTGCTTTTGCTCTGGTAGGGGCCTTGCAGGTTGTGGCTTGGAAGGTCATGCTAAATCTGCTGTAGTTCTCGTGGTATGTTAATGTTTAAATGGTAGGTATACTTCAGTAGCTGAAACTGCTCCCAGCATTCTTAGGTTGCTCAGTAAATGATAGTGTGTTTCCTCAGTAACAGCAAACCCTGCTAAGAGTAAAGCTATAACCTGCCCATGACCCTGCATAGCAAAGGAGTGCTGGTATCTGGCAGAGCTCACAGAAGTCTGGATGACTTTAATTCTGTTTTAACAACAGATAAGCAGTGAAGTACTATTCTGCTTTGAGAATAGTTAAAGACTTCAACTCAATGCCACTTGCAGCTGCAACTAGTATTTATTCCTACAGGCCCTGCCAATGAAGCTAAAACAATAGTAGTGCCTGTACATATTGGAAACATCTGCACAAATTATTTCCTCTGCAGAGCTAATATACACAATATACAACACTTCGTTCAGCAACAGGTTTTAGTCCTTCCCTTGGTAGTCCCATTAGGTAAATTAAATTAAACTTATGCAAAAGGATACTAAAATTTTCTTGTCTGTGTTGCAGATCTTGATTGATGTCTCTTAAATGCTCTGATCAAAACAGCTAATTGCATTGTGCAAAATGAGACTGCAGATCTGTTTTCTGATACTACCAAACTTCTTCAAAGTGGAAGTCATTTCCTGGAAAAGGTTAAGCCGTGGCAGGGAAGGCCTGGAGATTTGTTTACATAGCCGCTAGCCTGCCATAAAATGTTACAGTGTATTAATCTGATCTTGCAAGATCTCCATTAACAGCTTTGATTGTTCTGCACTGTGTTTTTTCTAGGGCACAGGAAACCTTCATGCAATGGGATCAATGTAGAAGATTTTATAACTTCCTCATGGCAGACAACATGAAGAAGATCATCCTTTCTCACAGGTACTGCAGTATATCACTTAGACTGATAGTATTGATTGGGTCAATTGCTATATAGGATTTGTCTTCCTGGTCCTTTAAAACAGGACTTGTGAAAGATTATGCACCAGTTCCTTGCTTGGTGGTCTTTAGCTGAACCAACAGAGAAGGGGAGACCATGTCAATCTTATTCATACACTGTAAAATGTTCAAATAAGCTTTGGTGATCTTGTTAGAAGAAAGCGGGCTTTGTCTTTTTTTGCCTTCTGAGGAGACTTGCTTAATGAATAAACAAGATGCACACAGGAAAACATTGCAATTAGACTTCAAAGTGGAGTATTTTGCATCTGTTTTCCTTCTAGCCAAAGAGTTCCCTATTCAAGGAGCCTCTAGTTCTGCCACCTACCTGAGGTAGGATTAATCTTCAAGATCTGCTGTATGGGGCTGCTGCTTATCAAATAAGCAAATAGTCAAAATGTAGCTCTGGCTTCTAGCTGTTCCTCTAGAAAGAGCATGTAGCCATCAAAATACTTAGTGTTGCTCTTCCTGGAGTGGAAGTGTACTCATAGGGTCCTTGTGCTGCTGTTGTGATCTGTAGCTCTTGCATGTCAAAGGAATGTGTTTGTTAAACAGGTGACATGCTCAATGTTGTTGTTTCCTCCATCAGAAGTTCTCTGGGTACTTCTTTCTAGGGCAATAAATGTGTAAGTACCTCATCTGTGCATATTTGAAGTTGCCTGACTTGAGGGGAATACTAAGACCCATTCTGATTAAGAGCATGTGTCACTTGTAAACTTTTGGTTCACTGTTTACACTCCTGTGCAGTATGAAACACTTGTAGAAGGAATTAGGGCAGCTGACATGTAGGATGATCCACACAATTCATTCCAGATTGACAAATATTTAGACAACTTGACCAAATTTAACATGTGAAGTTAGGTAAGCCCCCATTAAAAGGTATTTAAGTTCATAACCCAGAAAAAACTAGTGCTGGCTTGAAGGCAGGTCTGTTAAGTAAACTTTTTTCCATAATCACTTGTGGTCTGAGGCAGCTCCCCCAAATCAAACCTAGCCTCCCTCCTACTCTGCCCTGCAGCTGCCTCTGAAAGGGAATAAAAACCTCTTTCCAACTTGTGGCTTTTTTCTATTTGTTAGGGGAGCAGTTTGTTCTGGTAAAGAAACACATCCTCTCCTGAGAGCAATAGCTAATTATGACAAGTGTCCATAGTAAATAGCTTTCTGCTAAGGTAATGCCCCAAGTAATTTCTGCCGTGTGAGCTAACCTAATATCTGCGCTGGGGAGACTTTAGGACCAGATGGTGAAGGAGGTGCTATGCCCAGGACTGTTAGTGCTCTCACCCGAGCCACCCACGGGTTTGGTCTGAAGCCAAGGGACCCTCCCTCTAACCCAGCCTCTGTTCCAAATACCTTTAGTGCTGTCTGTTCTGGGAAGATTCTTTTTAGAGGCCACTCCTTTTTTTTTCTTTTTTTTTTTCTATGAAGAGGCTGCTAGGGTTTCTCTTATGCCTTGCTGCAAAGGGAGGTGGACAAATAAGCTGTGCTTGTTCCCAAGAAAGTCTCCTGTATATGTAGCCCACCTCTTATCTTGTCAGACATGGTAAAATAGTTGTCCTTGAACAGGTCATGGCTTTGCTGCCCTTGTTATGTTATTCAGATGTTTTTCTTGATGTTACTCTTCCAGGCAAGTTCTTTTTGGAGACAACATGAAGAAGTCACACAGCCTGTCAGATGCTGATCTGAGCAAACTCTATACAGCAACATCCCTTATGCAGATTGACGATAACGTTATGAGGTATGACGGGTGATTCTCTGATCCTATGTAGATCTCTGAAAGTACCTTCTCTTTCAAGTGTTGCTCTGGCATGCCCCTTGCTGTGCCTGTAGGAATCTGCTGAAATACAGTGCTGACAACCTCAGAAATGCTTTCTTGCCTTCACATTGAATAAAACTTACCAGAAAAAAAAAATACTTACTATTGACAGTTACAGCTTCTGTAAAATCATCCAGGAGGCATTTATCAGTAAATCTGAACCTGCAGCCTTCAGTAGTGTAGGAAGATGCCAGCTCTGCCACAAGCTCTGGCAAAAAACAGTGTAGAATGTGGAAGGCAGCTCAGAACTTCTCATAAATGTCCTTAGACCTGCTTGAATTTTGAAACAAACCTTTCCCCCCGAAACCACTCCTGCCTTCTCAATAAACATTAGGGTTGGCTGAGATGATAAACCTTTTTTACTGGTTATACTATAACACCTAAATTAAAGCTCTCTGCTTTATTAAGCAGTAGCCTGTTACTGCCTGTGTCCTTGAAAACAACATAGCGCTTTCTTCAGTGGCAGTGTTCATACCATGGCATGTTCTGTATCGGGCATTGACACCTTTCCAAAATGAAGCTGTAAACTGTCAGCTATACAGTTATAACACTTTTGGCAGACTGGGAGTATTGCTGGCTGCTTTTTAAAAGCCATTCCTAGGGAAGTCTCCCTCCTTGTCCCTCACCCCTGAGGCCATTCTAGTTTGGGCCAACAGCTATGTTGTCTCTCATGGGGGCGGGGAGGGGAAAGCACTTGAGTACAGGTTTACTGAATTCTTTAGGATGGAGAGCCAAGGATCTGGCAAAGAACTTTAACCACAGTGAATTCTGGGTGGCTTGTAGGCAGGCCCTTTTGTCCACTATGTTTGAGGTTCATAAACTCTGGTGGTTTTGTATTTGAAAAGGCTTTTTTATTTGAAAAGGTGAACAAGATCATAACTTTCTTTATTCCATATGTACAATTACTTAAGTGAAATGGGATACTTTAAAAAAAAAAATATGCTGAAGGCTGCTAGACTTCAACCTGCATGTATGACTTGCCCATGCTATCACAGTGTTTGAGTAAGCACAGAAAGCACGAAGGCATGTGCTGCCAAAGGTGAGTTTTGCAGAGACCCTGGGTAGAAAAAAAAGCATTGTCCATGAAGAGAGGCATCATTCCTATCTCTGCAGATATGTGTTCACTTGAAAGTAAGAGTCACATGGGTACTAAAGCAGATGATTGCAATGACAGTCTTCTCTATTTCAGGAAGTTCCACGGCTACAATTCCCTGAAGGAATACTATGAAGAAGAAAGCTGCCTGCATTACTTGCACAGGGTAAGCTCTTACAATAGAGACTGCTCTTGTACCTTCATTTTCCTACTGGAAAGAAAATGCACTGTGGTTTCTGTTGTTGATACCTAGACACAGCTGTCTTAGCTGGGATTTTCAGAAATAATCAGACAGTATATTGGAGTGGGATTTCAGTTCTTGCTACCTCCTAATACTGGGGCTAAATGCTCTGGGCTCTGAAGAGCTTATAACTCTGACAGGTAGTATCACCCCAGTAATCTAGATAAAGCCATGCATTCAGCTGAACAGCTTTGAGTATATGAGGATAAGGTGGGAAATGGGTGGTGGCATAGATCCTGCTTGTTTCAAGGAAGAATGACTCACTAGATACTGTGGAAGAGACTCAGGATGCTATCTGGCAGGCAGATGCTTAGCAGACCAAAGTTTTGCAGAAGTGGAACTGGAAGATTAATTCCTCCTTGATCTACTGAGCCAGAGGATGGAGATGTTCCAAGGGAGTTTCCTGGACTTTAACCAAGGTGTCCATAACAGAGCTGGCACTAGCTGCCTGATGTGCAAAGCAATACAGAGCAAAAAAGGGTGTAGCCATCTTAATTCTGAGAATGGGGAAGATCTGTGACTCAATCTGTATTTGCTCTGATGCACCCCTGCTCCTTTCGTACAATTGAGTTGGGGAAAAAAAAATAAATAAAATCAAGTGCTGCAGAATACTCTGGTGAAAAGCCACCAGTCTTAAACTTTGACTCTTTCTGCTTTTCCAACACTTCTCCAGGTATAGGGCAATTCTGAAATAAAATGTCTTAATTGAGGTAAGCTAAAATGCTTTTACAGTTGGTAGACTGAAACTTAAATACCAACCCTTACTGTGGTGTTTCTTCCTTTTCTGCCATGTTTCTTGATGCAGATCTATGTTCCTCTTCTGTTGGTTAATGCTGCTGATGACCCTCTTGTGCATGAGAGTCTTCTATCAATTCCAAGAGCCCTTTCAGGTATGTTGGAGCAGTCTGCTCCAGCTGTGCATATTTGTGTACCTGCAGCTTCCTTATCACATGATCCATGACTTCAAAGCAGCTTGACTTGCCTCCTTACATCTGTAATCCTGTCAGAGGTGTACTAAGCCTCTTTAAATCACCAGTTGCTAGAACTAACAAGGCTAACCTTGAGCAGGAAGAATTTGAGTCCTTTCAGGCACCTTCTGCTGTTTTGGCTTGTGTTGATAGCCAGCAGGTTACATTCAGGTTATGTTCTTGAATGGAAAAATTATTCCTTGTGTCTTCATTCATCACTGGGATTTGGTAGAAATATGGGTTATTATAGTGATAGTCTTGATTAAGTACAGATGAACAGCCTCCTTTGCTGATGCAGAGTTGGGGGACACATGCATAACTGTGTTATTTGGTACTGAACTAGGATTTTTGCCTTGAAAGGAGTTCTATGAGCTGTCTATCTTCAGCCAAGGAAAAAAGGCAAATTACCTTTAGAAGCTCAGCAGAGGGAGCTGGCTGCTGCTTTGTCACACAAATAATGGGTGCACAGGGAGGGAAGCAGGGTTCATTCTTTTCCTGGTTGAAAGCTGTGAGCAGAGAACTTAATCCACAGCTGCTTCCAGACAGAAGCAAGCACAGGTATTTTTCTCACTGTACATGGAACAAGGTGGCCAATGTACTGTCAGAGCTTTGGTGCAGCTCCACATGATGCTAACAGTCCTAGTTCCAGTGTATACAAGGTAAAGATGCTCGTTCATTAAAGAATGAGCATTCTTATGGCAATACAGGTATTGCTGTAAGGGCCCAGCCAGCAGCATTTCTTGGACAACCTTCTTGTACTGGCAGGGACTGGTTTCTGCAGACTGTCCTGCAGACTGTCCTGTTCTGTGAAGCAGTAAGGTTATGTGCTTTGGACTTCAAAGTAGCC